GAGCCCCTCCCACCCCTCGGCCGCCCCAGTCTCCTCCCTCGGTTACTCCTGCCTTCCCAGGCGCAGACAGATGCGGCGCAGGGTCTGCAGGCAGGTAAACTTGCAGGTTGGCATCAGTCTGACCTCAAACAGGTCTTTCATAGTGGTAAACTATAGGATCTCTAATGATATGAGAACTCTGCACACAGATAATCATGGGAACATGTTGGCAAATTGGCAAATCAGGAAAAACCCTGGCCTTGGTGGGGGGGTCCTGGAGGGCTTCAGGCCAGGCTGCTCCATGGTGACTTAGGAGACTGAAGATCCATATAGAGATCCTTGGTGACTCAGGAGACTGAAGGTCCATATAGGGATCCATGGGTCAGCTGACCTTTAATCACCAAGTGGCCCACCTCATCTCCAAGGTAACTCCAACAGCAGGCCCCCACCACCTTTCCATAGGAGAAACTGCACATGTTCCTTTGGACATCCTTATTAAAATTTCATTTTCCAGGCTATTTCTAACATTCATGTAAGACTGCTTTTCAGCCTTTTGATCTGCATAATATTACTAACAGGTTTTTTTTTTCTTTTCTAGAGGAGTATCCCTTAGTTAATAAAAAGTGTACACTATGCATAATGTATCTTCTGATGCTTAAAGGGCACTTCTCCAGAGCACTCTTTTTTTTTTTCAAGTATATCACAGGATATTTGGGGATATGTCACCCAGTTGCCTGAGTCTACCAAATTGCTTTCCCCATGGAAAATTACTCTGAAGGAGTATCCCAAGATTTACCTTTGAAACTTTTTGGGCTTCCCTTGAACTTAAATTCCCTAACACAAAACTTCATGGAAGCTGTCCAAGGCAAACAAAATGTGTTCTTTAAGCTCTACTGTGGAATGTTCACTTCAGTGCTTCCCCCCTGCCCTTGCGCTCTTACTTTTCAGCTTTTGATGGAAGGAGTGAGCATTTTACAAAAAAGCATTAAACTCTAGACTTAGAAACATCACTGTATGCGAACTTGAAAATGAGGAGTAGAACCACTTCAGAATGAGATGTTCTGTACCTCTGGCAGCTATTTCAACCAAAATGAGTTTATTTGCCCAAGAAAGCACCTCAAAAGAAGATGACACTTTCTTCCTATATTCTTGTGTCAGTCCTAGAAGAAATCTTACAGATGGAAACAGACTTTAGTACAGTACATGGCATATAGCAGGTGCCCCATAAATATTTGTTAGAAGGAGGGAGATGCTTGGTAAGCATGCTATGCTGGGTTCTAGGTAGTACCTCAGATCAGTGCTTTTCACATCTTAAGTGCAAATCAATTCTGATTGAGTTGGTTTGAGATGGGCCTGAGATTCTGCATTCTAGCAAGGTTCTGGCCTTGTTAGATGCTGCTGCTGCTGGTTCAGACCACACTTTGAGTAGTAAGTCCTTAGAAAGCAGGCTCATGTTTGATAGGATGGACTTTGCATTGCTTTTTTCTCTATTTTCCAAGGTTTTATAATATTTTATATCACTTTTATAATTTAAAAATTTTGCATTAAAAATTCTAACTAAGAATCTCTAAGTATTAGAGATTAATTTTTCTGTCATAAAATGTAGTAAAAACTAAATTATCAGTGGGATTTTTATACTATGCCACAGATACTTAGGGAATAAATAATTATAAAATAAAATTCAATATTTAGAATTTGAATAGTTAATATTTTCTTACATACTTATTATGAATTTATCAAAAGGAGAGGAGACTAAATTAATAGGAGGATTGAAATTTTAAAGCAAGTCAATTTTAAGTAATAATTACAAACAGAGTGCTTATTACTTTAAAATCATTCTGCTGGAGCTAGAAATAGAAGAAAGGTTAAATAAAAGTTGGTATATGATGAACCTTAGATAATATATAGTCCAGAAAAGAGAGTCAAATTTGTGAATTACAAATTGTAATGGGAATCTCAATGAAGGAATAATAGAGGTACATGTGGAGGACAATGAAGAGACATACATTTTGATGGGGGGGGGGGGGCCAAGAATGCATTATTTGAAGAGGTGGCATTCAAGCCAGGTCTGGAAAACTTTCTGCAAATGGAAGATGAGTGCAGGGTCCTGGAGATGGAGAGAGATGTGTAGCTGAGATAACATAAGCAAAGCTATGACAGTGAGTGGGAGATGTGAAAAACAGCACGTGAAATAGTGGGAAGTATAACTCATTTACTCTCATTGAACCTTCGTAAGAGCCCAGAGACTTAGATACTATTCCCATCCCCATTTTACAAAGGACACTGAAACTTATAGGCTACAAAGCTCTGCCCAAGATTCCATAGCTAGTTAGTGAAAGAGCTGTGACTACAAATCTCTTGATCACTGTGCCAGTGGCATCCCATTACCTGTTATGCAGTATTATTGCAAGTCTGGTATGACAGTTTATGACCGAAGTATATAAGGAGTTTAGACTTTGTATTTCTGGGCCATTGTAGGTTTTTGAGAAGGGGAGTAAAATGATTCATCTTTGTACCATAGGAAGATAACTCTAGCATGCTGAAGAATGGCTGGAGAAATACCATCTTTGAGGTAAGTCACTGAAATCCATCATAGAAGCAAGAGAGAAGTGAGAAGGCCTGCAGAAGGCCTGACACACAGACTAAATGCATGGCCATGGCCTTTCTTAACTGTGGTGCTTGCCTCCTCATCCTCACTTCTCATCTCCAAGGACTGTGAAAGCTGTGACCTGTACGGCTAGGGTTCAGGACCTGGAACAGGGCCACGCACAAATGAAGAGACTAGACAAGAAATATGAATTTGAATTTGGAAATTACAGGGGGCCAGGCGGAGAGTCTTTCTCAAGAGGAAAGGCTTCACTGGTGCCCAGGCCCTGCTAGCTTTTTATTCAATTTTAGATACACATCTTGCCCTTAGTCAGGCAGGCAATTCCGGTAGCAGACAGACTATCTTAAAGGTCAGTAAATATTAGTAAAGATTTACTTTGAGACTATTAGGTCAGGAAATTGCTTGAGCCACCATTGTCTCGACAGAACAATTGGTGCATAGCCTTAGCTCTTGTCAAAGCTCAAGGTCCATCAGCCTTCTGGGTTCCTTGTTTGCACTTTCCTGATAGTGTAGACAATGGATAGCTTCCAGCAAATGACCTATAATTCTAGGGCATGAGTGGACAGCCTAACTATCGCTGAAATAATTTTTCATCACTTGAAAGTCTCAGCAATTTGGTCATCTATTTTATTACCTATAACCATACATGCTTATATGAATACCTCTACAGCTTTTGTTTTCTTTTCTGGAAATTTTGTCTTCATTATTTGATCATGGGCCCCTCCAAATTGCTGAGGAGTTTAATGCAGCTTGTGCCCTCTCTTAGAGGCTACATTATATTTTGAAAGTGTTTATGGCTCATTTTCTTTGGAATCTTGTGAGGTTACCAGAGTAAGCACCTAAATAGCTTGCTATTTAGGCATATCTGGTTGGCAGGGCGAATGGCCTGGATTTTACCTGATTGAAGACAACCTAAAAGCCTCAGAGGAAACTTACTGACTTAATGAGACTGGTGGGGCAGTCTCTGGCCCTCACATCTATTACCCTGTGCTGCCTTACCTCCCATTCTGTGTGCTCAAGGAGGGGAGGGGGGTGAAGGACCGACCTCAAAGAGAATCAGAACCCAGGCATGTGTTTGGTGCAGGGACATTGCCTGGAGGTGAGTGTGGTTATATGATGCTTAGAGTTTCACAGTGATGTGTCATTCACATTTTATTTCCCCTTGGGTGGAGGTTATGGGGAGGGTGAGGGACTGAAAGGAGGATCCAGGTAAATGAAAGATGGCTGGAGTAAAGGCTGCTTTGTTTTGTGCCTCATATCAGCAGAGTTTATTTCTCCCTAGTCATCCCCAACCTTCTTTCTCCAATTCAAGTAATAAAATACTATGTGATAAGCATCAGGGTAGAATGAAGAAATGTCACCAATGTGGGTGGTGCTGTAGACATGATGACAGCAGCAGCAATTACCTCCAGGAAGAGCGGCATCACTCAGGAGCCTCCAAGGAAGGGAGATAAGGAAGTACACGGACTCATTCCTCAAACATTCTTAATATCGAAGGCAGAGTGAAGAGCTGGGGATCCAGTTATTGTGCTGGATAGAGTTAGAGCTGGAGGCCATGAAATTGGGACCCATTTCCTGATTGTACCCAGATGACTGTCTTTGAGAAACTGAGTAAGAGCAGCAGCAATGTTAGCAGGACGTCATCATATGTGGCATCACCTTATGCACACCTGGTCTTTGTGGCCCACAGCGAGGATTCTGTAGAGAGATGAGTGAATAGCAGCAGCAATGAACTGTCCATAAGATTGTTTCTCCCAGATTTGAAAGCTTGATGTTCAGAAAGATCTTGAGAGCCTCTCTCCCTTTTATATTTATTGGACATCAAATTTTCTGGTATATTTTAAGGAAAATTTATTTTAATAACAATATAATGTTACTCTGACACTCGAGAGGTGCTAATAAGAAGTGATGACTATAAACTTAGTTTAATGTCCATTTAGAGTCATGTGCCACTTAAAGATTGGATAAGTTTGAGAAATGCTTTGATAGGCAATTTTATCATTGTGTGAACATCATGGAGTGCATTCACACAAACCTAGATGGTTTAGCCCAGTGGTCGGCAAACTGCAGCTCGCGAGCCACATGCGGCTCTTTGACCCCTTGAGTGTGGCCACGAAGTTTCAATCGCACTGTACATGCTCGCCCGCATGTGGTATTTTGTGGAAGAGCCACACTCAAGGGGCTGCAGTTTGTTGACCACTGGTTTAGCCTATTAGACACTTAGACCCGTGGTCGGCAAACTGAGGCTAGCGAGCCACATGCGGCTCTTTGGCCCCTTGAGTGTGGCTCTTCCTAAGCCTTAGGAGTATCCTAATTAAG